TTAAACACTGTATGTACATGGTCTCATTAAATCCTCATAACAGCCCTGTGCAGTAGATCCTATCATGATCTCCAGTTTATGCATAAGGAAGCTAAGGTACAGAGAGGCCTGGTGTTTTGCAAAAAGTCACCCAGTGGTCGTGAGTCTGAGCGTGGAACCTCCAAGCTCCGGAGTTCATGCTTATAACCACAACCTTAGAATCCTTTCTTTGCTATTCGCTTTTCTGTTGACCATGCTGCGAAAGCCAGGGCCAGCTCAACTCCATGGTTGATGCCAGTTGCAGTATTTACAGGAGAGAAACATCTTTTCTGTCTCAGGGAAGCTGCCACCTGGCAACGAGAGGAATGTGGCATTTGTGTAATTTTTACCTGTGCGTCTGCTCGTAAATTCTGTAATGCATGTCAATAGTGATGCCAGCAAGTGATTGGGAAATGTGGTCTAGGCCACCAGAGAACTGAAGGGCCAAATGCCAAGGGCTGGGACATAACAGTCCCAATAAAGCCTAAAGGGGACAGAGGAGAGTATCAAGAGACTGGAAATCAAATTCCAGTTCTGTTATTTTGCAGCATTATGACCTTGGCAAGCTTTTGCCCTCTTTGTGTTATGACTGCATCTTCTGAAAAGGGGAACACTATCCTATCTGACCCTCCAGGATGCTGAGGGGGAAAAAGTAATGGACCACACAAGGCTTTAGATGTTAAGCCTTATTCAAGTGGGTGGGACCATTGCTATTACTCTGACAATAGAAATCTGATGTTTAGACAGTAGAGAAAAGTTTGCTGGCACTTTGTCCCTGCTCTGTACCAGCAAATGGGCCAATGTCATCTAATCAGGAAGTCTCCCCTAACCATCGTATTTCAAATAGTCTCACCCCTCCCGGGTCCCTTTCTTATCTCCCTTTTCCCCTTCATAGCATTTATCATCATTCGACCTCATGGGTTGTTTGAGATAGTTACATAAAATAATGTGTAATACATCTACAAATATTAGAAGCTCAATACACGTTATTTTCAGGGTAAAAGGAAAACTCTCTCCATGTAATTTTAAAATGCTCAACTGGTACAGTCTCCTGGAATGAGTACTTTGACCCTAGCTTCACAGACAGAAGCTGGGTCAATTATACCTTCTCCTGGTGTGCCAGGCTCCAGGCTGCCAATGATATTCCATTTCAGGTATTTGGTATTATTCTTTTATTAGTTCCTAGAATTCGGGTTTCCCAGAAATTTAAGGAAGCAATGGATTACTTTGGCCATCTTCCCAGCCATTTAATTAGGAGCGATTTGCTTTGTTTCAGAATTTGTACTATCGAAGAAGCATGAATCTGGAACCACCAGAGCTGAGGTCAGGACTCAGCTCTGTAACTTACTATCTGTGTTGTTATTATTTGAAAATGTAATAACTATGAGTTTTGGAATTTCTACTGCACACAGGCATTGTACAAGATAGCCTGTGTACATAATTTTATCCATTCCTTCAAACGACCCAGAAGAGCAAACTTTATATCCTCTTTTTGCAGACTAGAGAACTGAAATTTCAAGAGTAACGGAGTTGGAAATGATCCTAGGTCCATTCAAATCTATAGATGCTGTTATTTCTGCTCTATTCTCCTTGAGCCTCATTTTTCTCATCTAAAAAATGGATCTATTAACATTTGTCTTCTAGAGTTAGTGTAAGAATGAAGAAAGGCATTGTCTGGGCAGGGCAGGGTACTTGTTACGGATCTGAGCCATGCAAAATCTTTTTCCCTTCTGCACATGTGTGAAGACTCAAGAGGATGGAAGTTGTTGCTAAGCTTTGGGTTGAGGGTTCAGAGGTCAAGAGATGACTAAGGATTTGCACAAGCAGAAGAGAAGCCCAACTTTGTTTTCTCTTCAATAGAAACCAGACTGAGCAACCCTCTCTTCTCTAAGCACATCTGGTTTGGGTAGTAAAAGACCAGGGAGTTTGTGCAGCACTGTGCTTGGCCTCCTGCCTCTGAGTCTCAATTAATAACCTGCTCAAGACCTAAAAGAAATAAAACCTCAAGGATTGGTACATTTTCCCTCTTCATACAGTAGTCCCTGGAATCTCTGTGGTCCAGCAATGTGTTGCCAAAACTGTGACATAGGTCTGGGAGACAGGGGCAAAGTTACCTATAGTAGCCATAGTTTATAATGACTTTGCATACTTTAGACCCTGAACATAAACCTTGGCTTTGGTTTGGGATCCAGAGCTCTCAGACTAAAATTGCTTCAAAGTTAACTGAAGGTCAACCTCTATCGAGTAAAGTAGCCTTAAGAAAAATGGAAGCATATGGTAAAACAGGCCACTGAGAGGCCTATAGGATGCAATACCATCCCGAGAATGAAATTTTTCATGGTCAAAAAGATCTCCTGAGCTTTCAAAAAGCAGCTCTAGGCAGTGTGTCAACTGCCTCTTCTCTTGTCTCAATCACTGCACTAGGCCAGTCACACCCCTTACACAGAGCCACTGAAGTCCTTTTAGGTAGATTTCTAGCTCCATACAATTCTGGCTCCAGTACAGTATCAAGCCTGATAAACTGAGGCACCTAAGAAAGCCTTTCTGCTTTAAGAATCTCAGTTGTACAACTGAGACAATTGTCTCGGTATCGTGAGAGTTAGGTATATGTAAAGTACAGCACGGTGCCTAGCATCTAGTCACTGCTTCTTGTTTCTCTTCCAATTTTCCCCACTGGTTTTCCAACCCATCCCCTCAAAAAGAAAGAAAGAAAGAAAGAAAGAAAGAAAGAAAGAAAGAAAGAAAGAAAGAAAGAAAGAAAGAAAGAAAGAAAGAGAAAGAAAGAAAGAAATTCCAGAAGACTGTCTGGATTATTGCTCTGATTCAGATTCTTTGATGTGGGAGAATGGTTCTGCCCACTGGATTCCTTCTTGCTACTACCACTGTAATTAACCTGTGCTAATCTCCTACCTGCCCTGGTTCCATGCAATGACATCATAATCTCTGACTTGCTCTTGGGCTTCCCATTTCCACTTGTCTACCTTGGTTTAACAATTCCATTGGAGCACTTGTGGCCAGCTTTTGGTCAATCACATGACTTTTCTCGGAAGATCTGTCCCTTGCATGTCCTGTCTGGTCCATCATGTCCTATTCTAGGTATGACTATGCAACACTGCATCTCTATTTTAGGGATGATTACTACTAGTATGGGTGATTCTGGATTTTTTTCTGTACAATGAAACAAAGTGATATTTAATCATCATGTAATGAATTAGGTGTTGAATGATCTATTCAGTTCTCATGTAGTTAAAATCTTGGTGATTCTCTATACCTATAATGAAGAGAGACATTTTTCTTTTTCTAAGTTTTTCAAGTTGGTTAGTACTTAAGCTCAGTAATTCTGATTCCTGGTTCAAAGTATGTTGATTCTTTATAATTATTATCATTTCTATTTTTCATTCATTTTTTAGGGAAAAACATAGCATAGTGAAAAAGAAAGGGCTATTAGGATGTTTATAATATTTGCCCTAGTAATTACAGTCATGGGATTCTTTCCTATAAACTGAACCTGAAAGGAAAGAAGAAAAGAGAAAAAAAGGCTTTATGCTCAGAGGTATTCATTACAATATTACAGAATTATAGCAAAAAAAAAAAAGAGAGAGAGAGAGAGACAGAGAGAGCAAGAGTCAGATAGATATCAGACTTGTCATAAGTAACCCAAAGGCCATTGCTGAAGATATAACAGGCTCAAGTCTTGCATGGAATCATTACTTCTTGATTTTTTGTGATCTTTAGGTATATCATTGCCCTTGAGTTTGTTAGCAGCTTAGGATCAACCCATTCTTTTTCCTGGAATAGAACTTAAGATGTATCCTCCAGGATCCTCCCAGGCAAGGCTGATCCCTGGGTATCTTTGGATTTGGGCCATCATCCTGAAAGATACAATCTTGAATGTTATAATCCTGAATGATGACATCTTGAAAGATAAAAATCCCTGAAGTCTAAAATCCTGAAAGATCAAAGTCCTGAAAATATAATTATGGAAGTAAATAATTTAAAATATGAGACATGTATTTACATTTGTAAAAGGCAATTTATTTGATACACCTTACACAATAACAGGCAATCACATGCACATTGTTTGTAAACATAAGCACTCAGTTCACACAGGTATAGCATTTAGGAGCAGGTGAGCTATATTCATAAAATAAAAAGGGGGGCCAAAAAGCAAAATGTAGAAATGCACATCACTATGGCCAGTAATTGTGCACACCCAGTTTCATAATGGTCATCATCTGAAGTACTATGATGGACAACCTAAGTCTTTTGAGGAGATCAGTCAAAAGCCAAAGGTCACCACTGTATACGTGGTTACCCAAAGGACTGGGGTCTTAGAGAAATTTTATCTTTCACGAATGCAAATTTACAAAAGAAACACCTCTTCATTTATTAAAGAAGCATCTCTTCATTTATTGAAGATGTTTCAGTATTTTTCATACATGCACAATGCTTACACAAAATATCAACATTGTGATGACGCAATTCTATGGAGTTAAGTTTTCAAGAAAATGCATAAAAAGAATTAGAACTATCTAGAAGTTTTTACACAATTTATATCTCCAGTATTGGAAATAATTCTAAGATGAAATACATAGCAAACAAATTGTAAAATAAAAGTGCTGATAATGTAAACTAGTGGGAAATAGTGGATAAAACAAAGTAAAAAAGGAAACAAACAAACTACACTAAAATGAAAATTTAACATATGAAAAAAGCATATTACAGAGATAGATGATGGTCAATTGCATGGCAGTAACCTAGAAGAGATGGCCAATTTTTATAACCATTAATTATATTTTGAAGTCTTGCATCACTCCAAATGACTGGGTTTTTTTTTTGTTTTGTTTTGTTTTAGGGCACAGCTGTCCTCAGAGAAGACATACATATTCATTTTCTACACGGTATTGCTCTTTCTGAGTTTCTCCTGTGAAAGTTTCCCATTTTCTGTGCCATGCTTCTGTGCCATTTGGGGTACGTGGAAATCCATTCTGCACGCTCTCATGTAACAGACCACAAATTTAGCGGGAAAAGTAAAAACGATGAAACAGCAACATGGCTGCATAAATGTCATCTTTTTCTATCTGCACATAATTCTTTTCAAACAAGTTGGTATTTTCACTGGTTTCTTTAGGCAAATGAAGCTTTAATTCATTAAGAACTCCCAGAATTTCAACGACTGGAAGGAAGGTTAATGCAGACAGTACATCTTTTGGGACTGTGGTTGGCACCTCCTACCTCCAGAACTTTAAACAAGTTTCATCGTTGCCAAGTGGCATGACCAATGCACTCACCTGAATTTTCCACCATATGCATTGGGTGGATAGAAGAAAAAAATATGTAAAACTTCATTGGTAACACCTTGAAATTCACTTTAAAATTCACTTGACACCACCTACTTCCAAATCTGTCATTATGATTTCAAGATTCAATTGAAAGAATTATTTTCTTCTGCAAAGTTCACCAAATCTTCAAATATGCACTCATAAGGTGCTTTGCTTTCTTGACTCATTAATGCATAAATGAACAGAGAAATAAATTCAAGAATTTTCTGGTCCCCTGGAGGCATGAATTATATATATTTGGTTTAAAACAAACAAACAAACAGTGGGGACAATTTTGAAATGCCATCCATTTGCCCAAATGAAACATGTGCTAGTTTTTCTCTTTCGACTTAGTGGTCAATACAAGCCTATCTTCTCGCACAGTCAAATCTCTAACCAAGAATAGCTCACTATTTAATGTGTTTTATAACCTTCGAGGAACCTCTATACCAGCAAGTGTCTTTGGTTCAGAGGTCACTGAGCTTGTCAAATTCTTTTTATTCTCTGAAGATGGCAGTTTTTTGAAGGCAAGGATGGTGCTATATCTGAAAGGGCAAAAGTCATACACAATTAAATAATTTGTCAGTGCAGATTTCTTGTATCTTTCCCCCTGCATTTTCATTTCTTCTATGATATTTGAAGCAATCATTGCACTTGTATTTGGAGAGTAGTTGAGGTCTACCAAGTTTTTAAGAATAGGCTGTCCATTTGAAAAATCTGGTTATTGCCCCAGTTGTTGCAATGAAGCGATTTTCAGTTTCTCCAGCACCAATTACCTTTCAGATATTTATCTTTCACAATTAAGTAGCCTTGCACACTTAACTTGTCAGAGCCTTTTTATCGAGTGAACAATTTCATAGATCTCTTCAATGACATGCTTTATTTTTGTTTTGTTTTTCAATGAGAGTTGTGGTTTTGGGGATTGAGGCTTTCAGGATTTCAACATTTAGGATTTGAAAATTTTTTAGGATTAGGATTTGGGGGATTTTCGACATTATGGATTTTAGGCTTTAGGGATTTTGATATTTGACAGTTTAAACTTTTGGGATTATGGCTTTGGGGACTATGATTGGCACCTCTTACCTTCAACCCTGCCTGGTTTTCTCTGCTCTCAATCTTTCCATTGCTCTTCCCTCTGCCTGGAATATTTCCCCTGCTCCTTTTCAGGTCTCATTTAGAAATGCCTTCCTCCAGGAAGGCCTTCTGGAAACTCCATGCCTAAATTTTGTGTTATTCCTTTGTGTTTCCATAGCACCCTGGGCTCCTTTGTTGTGGGCTGTATCGCACTGAATTATAATAATCGGTTAACTTACTTGTCTCTCTAACAAGCCTGTTTTCCTTGGTGTCAAAACCCATGAACAAGTCCTCTTACCAGTAACCCTGATGAGGGTTGGTGAAATCAAAAGGTTGTGAAGTGGTAGGAGGTGAGTGAGGGTGGTTGGGAAAGAGGGTTGTCCAGTTATGGGGAAGCCAGTGTTGAGGGTCTCGATGGCTCATCAGAATGTGTGCTGGAGGCCTAAAGCAGACACTGAGAACAAGATGACCAAACTGGAACAAGCAGACAGGGAAGACAGGCTGAGAGATTAGGGAGGAGGAGGAGGTCTTGGAAGAACCTGTGAGACAGGGGATGCCCCCTTTGTTGGTTCATGTGCACTCGGTGTGCTGGTAACAAGGCCACAAATGGACTTCTCAATATGGCTCCAGCTTCCTCAGCACTACTGATAACATACCCTGACACAGCGGGTCCCAGACCATTCTCCTTACAAATCGCTGTCACGGGGACCTCCGACTGTGTGTGTACAACTCGGGTTTGCAAGTAAGAGCAGGCTGCACAACCATCCTGGGCTGTTTTGTTTGTTGCTGTTGTTGTTGTTTCTTCCAGAGGTTTTTGCTATATGGCACGTGCACCCATCAGACAGAGAGAGACAGAGAGATAGAAAGCGAGAAATCGCCCCCCAGGGGGGATGGCCACACTGCAATCCCTTCTCCTCCATTCTCCTCTCGGGATCTTGGGCATGCACGCACACGCGCCTGGTGTGAATTTTTTAAGCCACCGGGTCCAGGACGCGAACCGCAGTCAACTACGTGGGAGTCCAGTGACATAGCCATTACGCTAACTGCTGGTCCCGCCATCCTAGGCTGTTTAACCTGGGAGATGCCATGCACAGACTGGCTGGGCTTTGGGCCACTATGTCTTCATGGCTGGCTGGCAAGCAAAGCCACTGCCTGTCTCCCTAAGGCTGTCCCCATAATGACAATGAAGCTGTTACTTCTGAACAGTCGCCAGGAGGCAGATGGAACTGGCTGACCCAATACCAGCCCCTCAAATCTCAGAGGTCGGGCACTCACAGAGCAAGCTAAATGCTGAAATTCGGCAGGCTGCAGGGCAGAGTATTTGGGGTCCTGAGCCACTCTCTTCCTCCCAGTTCTGTCTTGTGATGGGAATGAATAATTACCCCAATTACAAAGCAACCTGAAGGAGGCAAAAGCACTTAACTAAATGAGGTGCTTGGGGAGTGGAAGGAGGGAGTAGTCTGCAAAGATTTCAGCAGAAGGTCTGGGCTAGCTCTCAGAAAGCTTATCTTAAAACAAGCAACATGGTTATCAGACCTCCTAATTTGATGGCCTCAGATACCTTCAGCAATTTCTAAAAAATGTCTACTGCATAATTGTCATTTCTAGGATGTTTAGAAAAGTGAATGTCACATTAAACTTAGTCGGAATCCAACAGTGATCTAATAAAGGGCATGATCAGATGGAGGGTTGTGCGGAGCTAATCAGAGCCCTGGGGAAGCATGGGGCTTGGCTGTCTTCTAACAACTCCTTGGGGATATAATTAGCTCTTACCACTTAGGAGACCTGCCCTTCTACTACAGTAAGCTGTCCAGCATCACAAAAGCTGGATGACTACTGTGGTGGCAAGATCTGGGGCTGAAGGCCTTTAGCCCTCACCTGAGCCTGCTAGGCCATCTCACAAATGCTGCCTAAAGCCTGTGCTTGCATCTGGGCTCAATCTAATTTGCTACTCTTTGGAAATGGCATGAGCACAGTACCTGGTGAGGAGGAAGACAACTAAGTCTGTTTTTAAACCAAAGAGGAAAGAGAGCCCCACCCTTGCCAAGAGGTCAAATTCTTTTGAGCAGGCCAAAAGGTAAATGCTGGGAAGCCACATTTCCTTGGCAAAAGAGGAAAGTTCCTGTGGTTCTCCTCTACGAGATGTTAGCATGTGGTTAAAGGAGCCCATGAGATATTGATTCTGCTACTCTACATATGATAGTTGGCTCTGGAATGGGAGAATAGCCACGTGTCTTCATTTGGGCTCATATAACAAAATATCTTGCACTGGCTAGTTGATGAGCAAAGAAAATTTAGTGCTTTCAGTTCTGGAGACTGGGAAGTCCAAGATCAAGGCAGCAGCAGATTCTGTGTCTGGGGAGACCCCAGTTTTCATAGGTGGCTGTGTTCTCACATGGCAGAAGAAAAAATGGGATTCCCTCAAGCCTCTTTTTTTAGAAGTTTATTCATATATTTCTTTCATCTCTATCTCTCACACACACACACACACACACATGCACACACAGGCAGAGAGAAGGCACCGGCCAACAGGGACTTCATGCCACAATTCACTCCCAGTCTTGGCCAGCCCAGGTCATGAGAGTGCACTCAGCGTGCTGAGGGAGTTTCTGGGACAATGAATCTAGGACCTATCCCATGTCAGTCCAGTTGCATCGCCCCTAAACACTGCCTGGCCCCAAGCCTCTTTTATAAGGACACTCATCTTGTTCATGAGAAGGAGCCCTCATGACCTAATCGCTCCTTAAGGCCCCACTTTTTAATACCACCACAACAGGGACTAGATTTCAACATGAATTTTGGAGGGACACAGACTTTCAGCCAGCAAGCAAGTCTGGCAGAGGGTCCTGGTGTAGACATGATAAAGAGTATGGCCACTCAGCTGGTGTAATCACATCATGTGTTTCACCTTTATGGTTCCTTGGTCATTTCATTATAATAAGATGGAACTGCCTGACCCAATCCCAGCCCCTCCATTCCAGCTCCTTCTTGGTATTCTGAACACTGCCTTCCGCTGCAGTCATGGTTGAGAACAACACAGCTCTTACAAGCCAAGGAGGCACCCTCAGTGTGCACAGCTTGCTCTGATTTCACGCTGGGCCTTGGATCCTTGACCTTTGACCTTGACCTCCATCTTAACACTGTGCAGAAGCATCCTTTGCTACCTGTCTTCTCCAGCAGTTCCAGTTAGACTCTGCTAACCACCTTCTGACTCTGCTGGCCTCACTCAGTGGGAGGCTCTAGGCTGAATCCCACCCACTCCCTTTGCCCACATTGCTGTCTTATGCAACTGTAAGACAGTTCCCTTTCCCTCTCACTTAGCTGGTGTTAAATGAGGTTTAGTACCAGCCTCCAGGACCAAGCACCCTGTACTAACGTGGGCTTGTGTGGAGCAAGCTACCACTCTAGTTTTAGACACTTAAAGCTGGGAAAATTATTTCTACACTTCTGAGTGCTATGTTCGTCAAAAGGAAGATGCTCTGTGAGCTGATCCATTTATGTGATGGAAGGAATGTTAGACTAGAGTTAAAAGACCTGTGTTTGAGGGCCTCACTTGAGGTTGTCCTATTCATTTCACAACTCCAAGGGCCACCATTTTTGAAGAATATATATGAACAGAGTTCATACACAACCTGAAGTTGTGTAACC